GTATACGTTTTTCTTGTAGCATAATCAATCATGCATTATTAGTACTGATCCACGATTATGTTTGATCCATGTTTTTTGGTTTAATAAGCATGAACAAATAGAACAATAGACAGTGTATTATGCAGAAAAGTGTACTTAACAGTTTGATGATTTTTAATTTTTCTTATTGTTAACTTCTATTTTAATCATACTGGTCGACCGTTAGCCGTTTTTCACGTTAAATAATTTTATATAAGAAACTGATAGGATTGTGATAAGACTATTATCAGTTTTAAAAAAAAAATTTGTCTAGAGAAGTTTCGCATAAAAAAAGCTTCCTTTTCAAGTGAAAATATTTTCTCCTTATGCTTATTCTCTTCTTTAAAACACGTTCACTGTTGTCTGTCTCACAGAGAAAGTAAAAATTTTAATTCTTCATATAGTAAGGATTACAACGGAGTAATCGAACTTGTGAAGTAGGAAAAGTCGAGATGGATTTCTCTCTATATCAGTGATATTTTAATTTCTTCTAGGAAAAATCATAAGTAGCATAAAACAAATGTGTATTCTGTTAATTTTTCTCGGATTAAAATTAAAATTATTCCTAGACAAATACTTTAATCTGTGCTGGATTTGATTTATTCTAGCCACATACACATCAGAGATGTAAACGTTGGCATATTCTTATTACAATTCTTTCTCCACAAGCAGAAGGAAAACTGTGTATTATTTAAATGAATTTTGCAATTGAAGACAGAGAAAACATGTGATATTTGTTGGACTTCTTTGAACATCCTGCAGAACACGAATAGTACCGTTCTGAAAATCTTCTAGGTTTTGCATTTCTGTTGCTCATCTAATATCAAACGAAAAACTATGAGACATCCGAATGCACGAATAATGAGAGCTCAGACATTTCGTAGTTCAATGACGATTTCGGCATTCGTATACGTTGAAAAGCTTCGAGAGTCAAGTTGTCAACTTTGTCGTCGAACTGTGAAGTAGAAAAGTCGAGATGGATTTCTCTCTACATCAGTGATATTCTAATTTCTTCTAGGAAAAATACAACAGGTTGAATATACTAGGGTATCTCAAATTTCTTTGCGAGATAATTATAGCTTGCACTGTTTATAGAAAATAAATGAGAAAAAACCGGAAAAGAAGAAGAACATCGACAAAAAGAAAACTTTTTCCATTTTTTCCATAATGAGAAACTCACTTTATTCTGAGCGATAATGATGTAAAAACTTTCTTTAGAACGACCGTTTTATTATCTGCTCTGAAAATCTTTAGCTATTAAATGACTGGAATTTACATCATGAATGTTTGAATCATAACGCAAACGTAATCGTATATTTTTTTTCTGTTGTCTTATCTTTAAAAATATCTTCACAAGTTTTTTAATAACAGTAGAGTGCCATTGGTGATGAATGAATGAAAAATAGAAATAGTGAGAGAGAGAAAGAAGTGTTTTACTCTAATTATTTTCACCTGGCACAATGAGAGTGAAAACGATATGATTGTAGTGGCACTTAACGTAAAGTTATCGCGTGCTATTACATGGTCAAAAGAAAGTGTCTTGATAACCACATGATGGCGTTAAAATGCATCCGCCGCGCTTAATGAAGGCAGGTTAGGTGCATTTTCTCATCTTTTTTTACTGTTAGGCGTCTTGATGTATTAACAAAACATCTCTAAATCACTACGTTTTTCGATAAAAATATTTTAGGTGCTTTCGATAGATCAGAGATGTGACCGGTACCGGCAACCGGCCCGGTCCGGTCAGGAATTTCTGATCGACCGGTAGGCCGACCGGCTGAAATAAAATAAAATTTGACCGGCCGGTTGAGAAAAAAAATGCTTTTTTTGTCTGAAAAATCAGCATTTTGTCGAAAACGAATTTGCTGAGCTAAGTAAAACAAAACTTTTCATATTTCAGATTAAGAAAATTAGTTTAATTTTCTCTTTTTGTCAATAGTCTTCGAGAACAGAACTGGTAATCCCTGCTACGTGAATATTCCGTTCGTTTTTCTTTCTTTTTTAATATTTGTTGCATTATTATCGGCGCTGAACTACAAGACCGGTGGTTATTTTTGAATAACTCAAGCGGAATACAAGATAGAAACTTACCGCTTTCATGATTCACTAGCCAGGATCTGAGGCTATGTTTTCATTAGCAAAAACGAGTTTGGAGAAATTTCAAAGGTCGGTTTTTTAGGAGATCTGTGGAAACCAGTTCGGTGGTCTCAAAGCTGACATAGAAATCTACGTATTTGTTTTCATACATATATAGTCCGAAGTGTCCTCTACAAAACTGAATCTAAGGGACATCTTGGAAATCCATGGTTCGGGAACTGTGGACGTTTTTCCGAAAGTCTTAACACTCTGTCGTTAGGCTTTTACACTTACACACTAGGAAAATATATGATCTGCCGGCCCGATCAGAACTTTTTCGGCTGGTTATCGGTCCGGTCGTGAAAATCTTGACCAATTACATCTATGCGATAGATATTACTAATGGTCCAAACGTTACAAGGCACTAGCTGTGGCCAAGACACTTAGTCGCCAATCAGCCACGGATAAAAACGTAGTTCCATTCAAGGCACCGGAAATGCATCGAGACATCTCGGTCAAGAGAAATAAAGAGATAACGCTTCAGAAACGAGCCCTGTCTAAATGGTTTCTTTGCTCATTATACTGACTATTATACTCTCGAATAGACTATTCTTAATCTGTTGCTTGTTTAGTTAATTATGTTTGGACTCAAATCTAATTTGATTAATTCATGTGTTAGATTTGAACGATATCATTTGTCGGGGCATGCACAAATAATACTGGTGCTGATAACAGTTCAGTGATACAACGACAACCGATCTGTTAATAGTTATAATATCCTTTCCTGTCACGCATATTGATATAAATATAGACATCAATACAGATTTTGTTTTCAACTCCTTTTACATTTACTTTGATGTATCTGGAAGATAAAAATCATGTAACGAATAATTAAGCTCTTATTAGAGTTTTCTCTTTTAGCGTATTTTGATCTTTTCTTGATGTCTCGCATACGTCAGACATAAGGATACATACTCTGCATGCTAAAGGAAGCATAATCTGCATGCTTTCTTCTTATGTTTCTTCTTCTTCATCTTCTTTATGCTTCCTTTCTGTATGTATCCTTATGTCTGACGTATGCGAGACATCAAGAAAAGATCAAAATACGCTAAAAGGGAAAACTCTATTTTATTTAACCTGTTCAAGAAGAGAAACTAGCATTCTTTATACCTATTTTTCTTCATTCTAGTCAGACTTATTCATCTCTTTTCTGCATGTTTTTGGCCGTAGTCCGCTTTTATTAGGCATCCCAATGTATTTAATGCATCCTATATACTTTATGGACATTAGGATGCCCTCCCTACGTTATGCTTAAAAAATGCACCTGATTTACATGGGACAACGCATCCAAAGTGCTTTGACTAAACATTCAAGTTACCTCACGAAGTCACTAAGGATGCATAAAATTGGAATCCAAGCATCTTCGTAAGGCGTCGTGACGCGTCTTTTACATGGAAATATCTTCTTACTGATCAAAAATGAGGTTGCCTCTCAGGCGCATAACGTGCATTTATTTTTATAAAATGTACCTCTTTTTTCAGTGTAAACAAAATACGGATTATGTTTTCTCAGCTGAGAAACACTTTTATCAAATACTAATGTGATATTTGGAATCAGCATGAAAAACTACATTGATTGATGTATAATTTGTTAGTTTTAAAAGTAAAACATTTTTTTGGCAAAAACTCAGGGCAAGGGGATTTTCAATTCGACTTGTTTCACTTCTATTAATATCTGACGCATAATAAGAGCATATTATATGAAAATAATCATTTTTTAACTTAAAAAACCAGATGTCCGCCTGTCCTGTGGAAAAATACCCACTGTGAGGTCTTTGTTTAAAAATAAAACAAATTCTTGAAACACAAAACGCATGATCATCATGGTGAATCAAACTCAACAAGAGTTTTTATACATTCATTTCTTTTTTTTTCCTTCTCATTCTCCCTTAATTTCTTTGTTGCAATTATTTTTCACATATACATATTTTTAAGAATGTCGATCGGAATATGTCTTTTCAGTCACACAAGACATGCGTTTATAAAACAAATGGATTTATTGATGAAATATTAACAGAACAGTGGTAAAAGAAGTTTTGTGCACACAAATTTTACCAAAGCCATTCATACGCTCAAAGTATATTTCTCTTTAATGCTATTTCTCTCTCGAGGTATGTGTTGAATTTGCTGTATGTATGTGATTTTCTTAATAATACGAGACTCAGAGATCGTCTTTTCATTCTAATTCACGTTGAACGACATGCTATAAGTGGGCACTGCTGATAAGTATGTGTGATGATAAGTGGTTTCCATGAGACTGTATAACAATAAAATACCACTTTTTATTCTCGGTTTTTTTGTCTTCCTTTCAAGCTTATTATGTCACTGTTACAATGCAGTTTTTTATTTTGTTCTTTTTCTCTTTCCGTAGAAAGAAATAATCTTAAAACGAAAGCGAAGAAATACTCAACCATATTGAATGCTACTGTTTTATTTTGTGAGTAACGAGACATATAGCATCACATTTTCAAAATGCAAAAAAAAAGGTTGTTCTAGAAATCAACTTGTATAAATTAATTTGAGAATAACCATGGTAAGCTGTAGTTAAGATGCACAATCTTTCATGTCTTCATGAAAATGTTTCGAACTGTTTAAAAAAAACCGTTCAACTGAACAAACAACTAAATAATTACTTCATATCTTCTTTTGAAAGTATAAGTTATGGACAAAACGAGCTTCTGTTTATAAACGCTTTGGTATTGATGAAACAACTCTCTTTTAAAATACTTGTTTACAATCGAACTTTCTCCTTTGTAATGGCGCCTACAATTATGTCTGATTTTTTGCATTACAGATATAGTTTTCTCCATCTTTCTGTTATAACATATTTCATATCTCAAAATAAACATGTCTAACCCGAAACCAGGAGCTAAAATTCATATTATTTATTACTCAATGTATGGACATATAGCTCAAATGGCTAAACAGGTTTTGAAAGGTGTGGAAGCAGCTGGTGCTCAAGGATTTCTATTTCAAATACCAGAAACATTGCCACAGGATGTATTAGATAAAATGCATGCGCCAAAGAAAGATGATAAAGTACCTGTAGTCACCTATGATAAATTGGATGATATTTTGGTAAATTGTGATGGAATCATTTTTGGTTATCCTACAAGGTAAATTATTAAATTTTGATTAAATATTGATAATGGATCAAATTTTTTACATCAGATTAAAAGCGAAATATATTTCTTTTTCCTTGAAGATATGGTGGTATGTGTGGTCAGATGAAAACCTTCTGGGATCAAACTGGTGGATTATGGATGAAAGGTGCACTAATGAGCAAACCATTTTCAATATTTTTCTCAACATCCACTCAAGGTGGAGGACAAGAAACAACTGCTCTTACATCCTTATCCAATTTTGTTCATCATGGAATGATGTAAGTTCTTCACTGACTGTAAGATTGTTCATCTGAGCTTAAATTGCGGTGAGAATGTACTGTCAGCGTTCATTCAACCTATACTTATGCTAGCATCACTATCAGTTTTTACACTCTTGAATTATTTTAGCTATGTACCCATTGGCTATTCGAGTCCAAAATTAGCTGACATGAATGAAATTCATGGTGGATCAGCTTACGGAGCAGGTAAAACCAAAACAGAGAAAAATAACGATGTAGTTGAATATTTTAATGTTAAGTTTAATAAACGCACGTATTTTTTTTTTGAGTGCACGTTTTAGATACATTCGTATTTGAATCAAATGAGCTGTTTTAAGACGACAACACAACACTACAGTTTTCTCCTTTTTTTTTCTCCGATGTTGATCACATAAAATAATTTAAAAGCTATTTCTCATTCCTAAAAATAAATAAATATTTTGTTTCAGGCACACTATCTGGTCCAGATGGTTCTCGTCAACCGAGTGCATTAGAATTAGAAGTTGCAGAACATAGTGGTAAACATTTGACTGAAATAGCCATGGCATTAAAAATTGGACGAGACGCTTTGCCGAAAAAAGAAGCTTCACCACCAAACCCTGAACAAAAATCTGTACCTCCAGAACCAAGCAGAAGCCGTCAATCATCAGCGAACTTAAAAGCCAAAGAAAATAAATGAAAACAAACTGACAAAGATTTAATTAAGAACACAAACACACAAAAGCAAAACAAAACAAAAACACAACACTAATTGAATTTCGTTGTTGTTTCGTTCCTTTTTGAATGTAGTGTAATTTTAAAACCGTCTACGATCTTTTTTAATTAGAGATTATTAAAGACCGTTATGGAAATAGTAACTATACTATTTAAAACACTGACCATTTTTTAGCATTCTTAAAAACTAATTCAAAATTTTCAAAACATAGGATGATCTGCTTTGATGTTGAAAGGTTGTTTACAAATATTCCATTCAGAGAAACAATTGATTTAATATGTGACACACTATACTATAGTGACGCAAAAATGGAGCCACTTATTTCGGAGTTCCAGTTATCCAAATTATTAGATTTTACTGCAAGTGTTACGCAATAATAAGTAATGAACAATGTAATAGGCTATCGGTAGACTCAACCCTTGCTATCATTTTTGCTGAAATGTAAATGTTTAATGTGAGTTTATCAAAAATATGATTCGTCATAATAATACATTTTTGGTTTACAGACATTATGTATAGCAAATGCATTCACTATTCCCTTGACTGTAAAAGGATCTTATCGCGTTAAAATATCGGTCTATATGTCCGTAGCCAGACACACCTCTATCTTTGTAGTTTCATGACGTACCGCCATGAAACTTTCACAGTAGAGGTATTCGACTATTCATCAGGTCGCCGACGCATTGTATGTCGCTAGTTTATCGGAATGTGTCACATTAGACAACGTAGCGGCTGTTAAAGGATAGAAACTAGCACTTATATCTCACAAAACTAAGTATGAACTCTCAGAAATTCCCAGATCCCAGGTGTATGAAAAAAGAAATATCTATGCACTTCTAATTCAATTAAAATTTTTAGTGGCTATTTTTAGAGTGGCTAACTTTCATAGTGCATAGATGGTTTATGTGCTATCCACTTACAACGTGCTTGATCTTAAGACAACAGGAGTATTATTAAAAAAGAATAAAAAACATTTTTCAAGACTAGTAACAGCTGCTACGCTTTAATCCGTTCAATATTTTTAATCTCCGGCAATTCCGATAAAGTCATTTTCTAAACGTACTTTTTATGATTGACGACCTGATGATATGGGGAATCCAAAAATGACTAGAAGTGACATATAGGATCGATTCTATTGGCCGAAAACTCCATCTCAACTTGATTGGATGAAAATGATATTCCATTGACTGTAAAGGAAAGGGTCATCTCGAGTAAAAATGCCGGTATGTTTGTATCTATGTCTGCAGCCTAGATAGTAGCGGACAGGCAGACACACAAATTAGCAGCATTTTCTCCGTGAAAAAGCGTTCAAATCGCAATAAAGAAGCGATATTCGTACTCAGCGTCTCCTGGCAAATCAGAATATATGTATAAAAGTTTTAATAAAAATACTGTCGAAACTTTGAATTACGCGCACGCCTTACATAAAAATGAAAAATTTAAAACTTTTTTCAAGTTTAATATGGCTCTCAGAGAACTATTTACTTAATTAATTAGCACATGTCTCTGAGAGACCTATTATTGTTAATTAAATTGGTTTAATTGATCAATTAAGGGAACTGCATATGTCTCTGAGAGACTCACATCTCACTTAGAGACTTCTATATACACTTTTAGAATAAAATTCCATATTTTTATTTGAATCAGTCTATGTCTCTAAGTAACTCATACCTAACTTAGTGAGATATTATTGGTATACCGACATTTGGGCGCAACGATAGTTGAAGTTCAAAGGCGCCGGTGTGGGTAAGGGCTAGTGTGAGTGTGACGATGAAGATTAAACAACAATGGTTAGAGTTGGATATGAGTAATACAGAAAAAGCTCTTATACCGTGCCAAGTTTGTTTAAAGAAAATTTTATGGTTATGCATCATACTTTGGTTTAAACTATATTTATTTGAAGATAAAGAAATCCTAATAACCCTCGAACTAAAGCGGCAAATTGCCATTACATAGTTCAAGGAGTTATTTACAAGGTGTTACTCTTTTCCATAAGAAAAACAA